GCCACACTCAGAACGAATCCTCCACTGGGCTTTTCCACCCACCGCAAGACGACGACAAACCACTCAAGTGCGGCATGTCTCCCTCCATCCCCTACTCTCCCGCCTTATGCGCGCGACATAACCCTTCTTCCAGCCATTACCGTAACGCTATTCACGCTTAATACGGGGAGCTTCTAAAATGCAACTCGCACGCGGGGAAACGCGTGGACCCAATTGCTCTCTCGGTTATTTCCCAGCCGGTGGTGTGGACGTATTTCAAATGTTGATTTTCAAAAAATGATCATTAAATAGTCTTGTTTCTCTGAAAGTATTATTTGAAAATTGATTTTTTTTAGGGTGATAAGGAAAATATATATAAGTAAAAATGTAAAAGATTAAAAGATGAGAAGTTACATTTGGAAGATAACGCTCGATTATTTCCGCAATTGAATCCCGTTCGGTATTACATTGTCATAAATTCCTCGACGCACAATAATAATCGCGTCTCTAAACAAGGGGATAACGAACAGAACGTAATCATATTATGATGCTATGGCCTTTAACTCCCGCGGGAACGTCGGAGGGTTGTGTGTTTGACATTTAGCATTTCCCGCGGGAAGGTTGCCTCTTTGTCTGTCGTCGAGGAATCCCATTCTCATAACATTATCACAGTATTTCCAAGAGACAAACGTACGCATATACAGATCTCATCGGTAAAAAAACCTCGTATGTAATATTAATTATGAAGCTGATCCATTATCGATTCTTATTGATTTTTAAAATATAAAAAAATCTCTTATAACTTACTAATTAATTAATTCAATTAAAAATTGTATTATCGAAAATCTGCAATCTAACTGATAAAATATCGTCACTTTGCGCCGATAAACTCACGCGAAGCGACGGGGATTTATTTCAGAGCGTCGCAATTTCTTTCTGTATCAAGCGGACGCGTCTAACCGGTCTGTCCGGGCGAAAGTAAGAGCTCCTCTTCTTAAGATTAACGATACTTTAGTGCTCTTTTAAAGAGATCGTCCTTCCATACCCGCCGTTCCCCTCCGGCAGGAATGCTCGGGATTAACCGCCACCTCAACCGCCCCCTCTCATTCTCTCTCGGCATCTCCCGCTTCACGATCTCCACTTCGTTATTCTCCGCCCCCGCGAGCTACCCTCGGAACAGGAGGACCAGGGAAAAAAAGTAGCAATCGTCGGAACTTGAAAGCAGGGCATTTTATGATGACTACAAAAGTGGTCGCGGCCACCATTGGGGTGGCGAGGAAGAGGGTGAAACACGGCGAAACGCGAGGGTGAACCGCCATCGCTACCTCTACCTACCGCCTCCTTTCCTCCTTGGTCCTTAACAGGACCAAGCTACGTAAGGGAGAATAGGAGCGAGACGAAGGGCTCGAGAAAGAGAAAGAAGGAGCGACTATCCACTCTCGGCGGGACGGCGGAGGCGGTAGGGACTTGAATTGATTGCTTTCATTACGCAAAAAAGTCGCCTTCTCTTCCCGCGAACGAGCCACCACCCCTCACCCTTACCCTTCGTATTTTTAACTTCTGTCGCGCGACACTGGCGAATAAGTAAGTGCGCTATTTACATCAAATCTCGTGAGTTATCGCCGCCCACCTTTCTTTCCCTCCCCTTCCTACCGCCGGTTTTCCGCGAATCGAAGAGGGTAAATCCTTTGTGTATCCGTTGTCCAAAGTCTCGCGCGCGATCAAAAATGTCTTTTGGATGTTAGGGTTAAATAAGAAAGAATATTCTTTATTTTCTTGGAAAGTAAATTCGCCCCAATCACTCCAATTTCTGAATCGCGAAAGAAGCCAACATATATTATCGCATGACACGGATATAGTCTAACAACATCGTCAATTTCGCAGACGTCCCGTTTGCTTCGCAAACTCTTCGATCTCGCGCGCTATGATAAAGGAGATTAATGCGGCGGTCGGTCGGCGGATTAGGAAGGATAGCGGCTCATTCGGGTACCGATTAGGGACAGCCAAGAGCACGATGCGGCCGCATTACCCCAATGATCGATGCACCCCGCACGACGACCTCATCTGCATCTGCCCCGCGCGTGCACCGCAGCGCGATGCCCCTTCTCATCTCCCCCGCCTCCGCCTCCCCCTTTTCCTCCTCCACCGCCCGCACCGCGGATGCGTCCCTATTCGCCTGCAAATGCGTCGTCTCAGCGTCGGGCAGACCGGTGCAATCATGTAGAGGACATATTACCCGTCAACGCGGCCGGTGCCGCTCGTTCGTTCAGGCAAATGATATGCCAAAGCGTAATCTCGAACGAGATCCTCGAGAGATTAGGTCCGGTGTAGTAATGACGAATGGAGGGTCCCTGCTCGTGAGGATCACGCGTCAGGTGAAGCAGTAATTTTTGCGAGGGGCGAAAGTAAGCCTCTCTCTGTCTTCTTCCCTCTCGAAGGAATTCCCTCTGCGAAAAACTGATTTATCACCACCTCGCTTCCGTCAAAAAAGTATAGAAAGAAGAGGGAATTGTAAATGGCGCTCTTCTCCGGAAATTAAAGATCTCATTTCTGATTGTTGAATTAAAGCTCATAATTGCGGGGGAAAAGATAAAAAACCAAAGAAAAGATTTCTTCCTCCCGTACGTGTCGAATAACTTTGTACGCGCTCGAGATGCATCCCACGCGAGTTTCTCGATATTCTCACGAACTGACAGCACGAATCGATCGTGCTGTCGTTACCGAAGTGTTCCTCGCCCCGCGTCCCCGAGTCTGAGTGTCGGTGTCGCGTACACGCACCGCGTTACGCAACGCGAACGCCGTTTGACAAGGCGCACTGTTTCGCGATCTCGGGTATCTAGTGTCAGCGCGAGCTGGACGGAAAGAGAAAGAAATCTCGCGAAGGAACGCACTCGAATGTAAACCGGACCCTTGTGAGATTCGCGACCCAGCGACGGTCCCACCGACGACGACGGCTGACCGCACCTTCCGGGCAATCCGGCCCGATCCGCGCAGCTCGGAATGGGGCCCAATCCTTCCCAGCGTAACATTTAGAAAGGTAGTGGTATCCTCTACCCTTCTTTGATCGCTTCGACGGAAGAGCGATGCGAAATAAATCCTTTGTTTTTAACTTTTCATCAAATCTATTTCACGCCCTACATCATAAGTATTATTACTACTCAATTTTATAATTTTGCTTGAAATTTAATGTGTTCGAGAAGAAAAAAATATATAAATTATAAATAAAATATAAAGATGCGGGCATCTATTTACGAGCGGTTTGTGCCATTCGAACTTTTAAGCGTCATAAACCGTAAGTCTCTTCCGGCGAATAAGTATCTATATATTTCGCGATACGTATCATGTCCGAGAATAAGTTCCCAAGGAACGCATGCAGGAGGAAAGCGAATACGCCGCACTTTGTAAACCAGTATACCGTCGCGCCCCACCTTCCGCATCTCAACTTCCCCACCTATCGTTCGTTCGCGACTTGCAGATATTGCGAGTGCCCTTTTCTCCCTCGGTCACCTTCGCCATCCCTCCGTAGCGTCCACGGCGTTTGTCTCCACGTAATCAGTCTCGTAATTAGTCGCGGCGATGCATGCCGCGGGACGTCGCGCGATGCGCTCCGGGAGTGTTAACCCTTTCAGTGCTAAGTTGCCATAACGTCGTAACGTTAACGGAAATTATATGCAAACGTCCTGTCCGAGCAATCTTTACAAACTGCGCCGACGTATATAATTTGAATAATTTCTACCACCTTGCATTCAAGAGAATTTCTTACGATGATTTTATTTAATACGAGAAATTATTGACGTGAAGAATAGTGTACATAAGTAATCGAGAAGAGAATAATCGACGAGCAAGAAACTCTTTGAAAAGAGATTCCAAGAGATAAATTCCTGTTGAAAGAGGAACTCGAGAGACGCGTAATTTCGCATTGGCAACATACCAGCCGGACATTAATTTTTAAATATTTGGCTACACGGCTTCGCCGCCATTGTTCTCTTTCCATCTTCTCTCCAAACTGTGACAGTAAACAATTTTATTACCATTCGATACCCTTCGAGCCGTTCTTCGCGTACATAAGAATCCATAAAGCGAATAAATTATAGCGCATCGATATCACGCGTCGAAAGAGAACTAAATGGAAAATGATCAAAGAGGAAAATCGACGGAAGAACGATTACGTGAAAAGTACCGAGGAGATGCAAACGTACAAGGTCCAAGGATCGCGATAAAATTTGTCGTGAAATCACCAACGGCAAATCGACAAGCGCGTTTTCATTCATCGTTTATTTCGCGTATTCACCTACTCTCGCTTTTCTTTCTCCTTCTTCGATCCAGTGATCGACGCGTGCCACGATCCATTCCGCAGGAACGGAAGTCGCGTACGAGAAGAGGAACCCGAGAGAGAAGCGCGCGACGGAGGGTAACTTTTAAATAAATAAAATCGATAGGGCGCGACATCGTATCCGAGGGAGCTCAAGAGGTACGACCTCTTCCTCTCTGCCTCTCTCTTTCCCGGAGAGAAGAGGGACACCCTCTCATGAATAAGCAGTGCTCATGGGGGTGTGCGCCGCGTGATTTCGCGCGGGACTGTTGGCGGTAGACCAGCCGGCGAGCGTTTATTTCGCGCTCGCCTTCCTCTCTCTTCCGCAGATCGGCGAAATCCTCCGTCGTCCTCCCGCCTGCCATCCCGCGTCCGGGATGCCAATAACGAGGTTATCCCGCGCGACGCCGCCGCCGTTTCCGTAGAAACCCCTCGTCGCAGGGCGCTCTCCCACCCGGGTGTCACGTCGCGTCGACCAATCCCAACGCGGGCTGGATGCCGATCGAGGGATGCGAAAGGCGGGGTCGCGCGCGACGTGGGGATGAAAGCTCGCCGCCGCGAGGCGGGGGTCGAAAAGCTGTCCGAAGTCACGTGTGTCCGTCGGCAGAAGCCACCTTCGTGCTCCACGACGTCGTCGGCCCGGTTTTGCCGCGGCGTCGCTCGGCTCGGCTCGCGCGGCTTCCTCTCGCGCGGCGGCTGATAACGATAACGAGCGGCTAAGACGTGCGACTGATAAACCGTTCTCCTCCTTTCCGTTTTCTGGAAACGCGTAGTCCTCACTTTTGACGTCGAATCCCGTCTCAATGATGCGCGGGATGAATGTCATTGTGTCGAATGACACGTATTTTGTAACACGCCGTCTCGAGAGAAATTCACACGTCTCAACGTTATCCGACAGATTGGAGTAAAGTGATAAACATTGATTGCTTGCGTGGGACGTGTAAAATGTCAAACTGTCAGATTCGCGTATGCGAGACACTCGAGGTGTCAACTGGACCACTTGGATGCAGTGAGCTGGATTGGTGATTGTGGCGAACGATAAGAGGCAGTGCTCGTCGTATGTGTCGTACTGTCATGTTTAAAGTGTCATGAAGCGAAGAAATTTCGTAGTACTTTAGTAGTTTGGTGGATAAAAACTATGTGCAATAGATTAATTAACGACGGGATTGAAACTATTATAAAGTCGCGCGTGAAAACACTCTTTCATTCATATGAAATTTAAACGAACGCAGAAACTCCTCGATACGCGTACGTAGACAATGTGGTGAACTCTGGAAACCCGTCAACTAGATCAAATTTTTCCGACGGAATCGACGTTCGATTCACGAAGATGAAGCGACGGTCGACCGGGTGTCCGCAGTCACCCGTCGTCCGGCACAAAGACGCTCCTGATGACAGTCATTGTATCGCATCGTCATAAATCCGCCTGCTCCATCAACGTAAAAAGAAAGAGAGAGACGAGAGAGCCACTTTTGGAAACGCGCGAGAGGTCTTTATCGGCGGTCAATAGGACCGCCGGTCCTTCTCGGATGCCTTTCGTACATTACATATAAAATCTGCTCCTCCGGAGAGGCCAGGCACCTGGATACCCGATGGCCGTCGGGCCCGGAAGTGCCGCGATGGACCTCAGCACTACTCTGAGTAGTGCCTACAGATACAATCAGAACATGATGGAATATTACACCTGTAAGACCTGTGATCCTTTTAACTATATATATACTCTAAGCTATGTTTTTATTCGCATCATCATCAATCAGCACACTGAATAATCGCGTAAATCTGATATTTCAAATTAAATTATTCGTTGTTGGTTTACAATTTACGACTCGCCATTTAATCCCTCATTTTATTACCTTGTTGTCAATCTACCGAGTATAAAGAGATCGCGATAAATATTTATTAGGATATATTTCTTTCAAACGGATTCTGTTTTGATCGTCAAAGTTCTGAGCTCACATTAATAATCATTTGCATCAGGCGGCAACCATAACGATTTTTTAATAAGTACCTAGACGTAAATGAATTTAGCCTTGTAAGCAAAGACTTTTTCTCTTCGTCGAGTTTTTTTCAATTAACGTAGTCGGTTCTCTACATTTTATATTTCTTCTAATGCGCGACAATCGCAAAGTCGCGCCATAAGTTGGGTATATTGTCAGCAAATTGCACGATAATTAATGCAAAAAAGCGCGAAAACGCGACATTTTCGCGGACGAAACGCTTCCCTCGCGATTTCTCTTCGGGTCTGCCGACGGTGCGTCGATTAAGTGGAGCAAACGGGATGAACGGAAAATAATCACGTATCCAGCGACGTCGATGGGTAAATGATAATGCGAAAACAAGAAATCTAATGGCCTTCGATCGCTAACCGAGCCGTAGCGGTACCGGTACCGACGAAAAACTAAACCGCAATCATATCGCGACCGACGATCTGCGTAGGAGCTACTCGCGACGATCCTCTCTCTCTTCCTCTCGCATCCGATTTAGTTTCTATAATAAACTACTTGCTTTTCTAGAGTACACGGCTAATAAATTTTCAAGTAAATATAATTATAACTTAAATTAAGTATAAATATAATTATCATTTATTTACATATACAATTCTTCACGTGCAAGAGCTTATCGTTGATCTAACTTTGTCCAGGATATTGCGCGAAAATAACGAGTTTACCGATCCGGGAACATTTCCGTCCATTTAACGGTCCGGCCATATTAATTAGACGAGTTCGAGTATCGTTTTAAAGTTGCAGCAATCGAAATCGCATTCCATTTACGAGTGCGCAGCCGGTCCGTTAAATCTAATGAAATATTACTAACTCTGAAGCATTAACAGAATGACAAGGATCGCCGATTGCGCGTCGTGAAATCGTTTGTAGCGAGCGTGTCTTTTCATCGCATTATTTAAAAAAATTGCTTTATTAAATACTTAATTTAATTTACAAAAACTTATAAAAAAACTTAAGGACATCGTAATTTCTACACGATATATTTTTCGCACGATATATTATGTCGTTAGATAGTTTATATCGACGTTCGGTAGAAAAATTTCTGTCATGATCGTCATCGAAGCCGGAAATTAACGCGCTTTTCTATTACGATGTAAATCGATCTGCCAACCCTGACCAACGTCGTAAAATTCCGAGACGGTTCGCACCGGCGAATTACATTTCCCAGCGTATTTTTCTAGCCATCGGATAATAAAGTCCGTCGTATTCAGGCGTACTCGGCAATACATAACGTCGAGGCGTAATGTAATACGGGAACAAAGCAGCGCGATGCCGGAGAAATATCGAGTGACTGTACGGGAATCTATATCAAAGTTCTTCTGGCTTCTCCGATATACACACGTAGCCGAGCCGCCGTGATCGTGTATCACCGGTCCTCATTTTATTGGCTCTGAAAACTATCTTGGACCGGTCCTCCATTCTCGATTGCGAGCGCACAAAAGTGGAACATACTGTGCGCGAATTATACGTGCAAATAAAAAAAAATTCCCACATACACAGAGTTCAGATTTTTTGCCCGATATATCTGAAAAAGTTAATCTACATATTTTTACGATTAAGCCTCGAATAATTTCGCTCGCTCAAAAACGCGCAAGCATTTTAAGCTTGTAAATATTTTGTATATATTTTCTTCGTCATAGATAACGCTTGTCTGAAGGAATCGACTTTGAAAAATAACGAAAGATAACGAAAACCGGATCGAGACTTGGAACCGCGGCAAGATTTCAAGGATATCGTTAACGCGCCAGCTTAAGACAGGGCACATTTGTAATGATAATGTAAAGGTGACATTGGAGATCGCGTTTGTCCGGAAGTAGTCCGCAGCAGCTCGACGCTCAGCCAGGTCACCTGATTTTGCATAGCCGTTTTTATATGGCAGCTCGAATCGCAATTGATTAGTGGATGCTATCGGTTTTCTCTGATAAAACTACGGTAAATCCGATTTGATCGAGTCACGAACTTGAATGCAGCTCGACGAAATTGCGTGCGAATCCGCTGATCGTCCTATCGCAAGCGACGCTTCATCAGAGAGATTTCTATTAAAACGAATCGAATGAAACCACAAGAACAATAACAATCATAATTTTTCTTCTTCGATGGTCGAATCGAAAAAATCCGTTTAAACTTCCGTAAACTCTTGAGGGCTTTCTTCTTCTCTTTAGATTCCATAATTTTGTTCATAATATTACGTTACATAAAGGAGAGATTGTGGAGCGTACAGGCAATAGAATATAGAATAGAAACAATAGAAGCGCAATTACACGGGACTAGTTGAGATTACACGAGACGTTGGTGCATCTCTTGATTCGACGTATCCCAGAAGTGCGGAACGGAGCGGACGGCAATAAGCTCCGGTAATACGGCGGCCAGTTTCCAGCGACGGCAGCAAAATCCAGTAGCAGCAGTAGCAGCAGCAGCAGCAGTAGTAGTAATAGTGGTAGTAGTCGCTAGAACGATTCGGGGGTGGTCCAGGCCGAAGCCCTCGCGTATAGCTGTGGTCAGCAGGCGTGACGGCGTGTGTGCGTGTGTAGTAGGGTAGTCATGGTGCTCTCGCCCTGGCAATGCCACCATGATGCCGACGACTATCCCCCTGACTACCGGCCGCGCCGCGGGGGACGCGACCATAAACGCGAGAGCGAATTGATTTGCGACCGGAAGGCGCGTATCGTTTCCAGTAATGATCGCGGAGACCTCATTGTCTTCGTGCGACGACGAGATATCATCGAGCGGCGCGATATATACGGCTGAACGGTGAAAAAAAAAACGTTGCGGTTCACGCCTCATAGATCGCGGTGTTACCGTAATTACGAAATCCCCCTCGAATGGAAACGCAAACGCGCGAGCGCATGATGAGTCTCTGCAGTTCGTTCCTTCGGATTAATTCTACGTCGGACAGAGTCTTCGTATTGGATCGTGACGTAATCGCAAGGTTGAAATTCCGAAAAGTATATTGCTATTTATTCTACTCTTCCTCGAATAATGATAATAATTCTTCATATCCCGAGCAGAAATGTATTTGTCGGGGCAAGTGTCGAAGAGGGAGAATATTCGGCACAAGAGCGACAGCGTGGCCGATTTAACCAAGTCTTCGTCGTCGAGGGTTCGTCGAAAACAACGATGATCATCGAATCATCGGTGCACTGGCACGAACAGGGGGACATATGTCGCGGCGCAGAACCCTCCATTACGATATTGGCTCCGAGTTATCGCGTTAGGCGGCTTTAATGCGCGAAAATGAAGCCTGCGACGACGTACGACAGAAACTCGAGTGCTAGCGGGGAGTAAACTAATAATAATGAATGCTCAGTGTTCACCCTGGAACGTTTCTCGACTCTGTGACAATGATTAGATGGCAGAAATATTAAACATTAATTCGCGTTATGTTCACAACGTATTCTAATCCGTCCTTATTCTCTCTTGCACGCTTTATTATATATTCTATACCATTATATAATTATCAGATGATAAAATTATATATTACATGTAATATATACACATATACATTTTTCGCAAAAGATATTGGAAATGACTTTTATGAGCATGCAAACAAGTCTTAACTTATATCTTAACTTGTCATTGAAAACCTTCTTCAGCTCTCCTGACGTTAAGTTTCTGATGAAGACTAATTTATTAGTAAATTTAATAAATATTTTTGTTTATATCTGAAGAAGGTATATATAGTTACTTTTCAAACACACTATGTATAATAAATAAATCATTATTTTTGAAACTATTAAAGCGTGAGAGAAACAAATCGTCCTCTGGATAGAAATTCTCGCTGGCGAACGGTACAACATTCCTCCGCAAAATCTGTCAAGTGGAATGATTCCGTGGCGATAAAGACCATTCGAGAGAAGATTTAACATTGGCATTTGCGATCCGTTCTGCCAGCTTCCTTTAACGATCGTCGATTTAGAGCGCGCGCGAAACCCGATTCACACGCAAATCGCGTTTAACGCCGCGATTTCACGGCGAATCGTTCACGATCGAATCCTTTAAATCTATCGGTATTCGACATGACGTTTAACAGCAAACGAATAATATGAAGTGCAATATGAATTACTTTTGGGAATATTTTTTTTCTATTTGCGGATTTAAGCCTCACGCTCGATTAATGCATTATCGATCCTCGTTTTTCCAGGTCACGGCGGAGTCAACCAGCTCGGCGGCGTCTTTGTGAACGGAAGGCCCCTACCGGATGTAGTCAGGCAGAGGATCGTCGAGCTCGCGCACAGCGGCGTCCGACCGTGCGACATTTCGAGACAACTCAGGGTATCTCACGGCTGTGTATCCAAGATACTGTCGAGGTGAGCACCGGCACCGTACCTCTCTATCCGTATCCGTCACAATCGCGGCTGCCCGTCGAGTACCTCGGAAAATGAGCGACATTGTTAATTCGAGCGCGCAAATTTCCCCAAGAAAATCAAATTCTCTCGCAGTCCAGGATTGTAAAGTTAAATGTCCATTGCAAAAAGACGAACAATTTATATGAACAACTGTATCCACGAATCTATACACTAAAATGTTTCTCGGAGAGATTTGCCTCTGAAAGTCGCGCTTGCCAAGTTCGGAGAGCGGATAACAAGCACAAACAATGTCGTCGAAGGGCGAGTGATTTACGAGAGAATCAAGCTCGTCCTCTCTTGCCAAACGCAACACTGCAATTTCCGCGCCGCGAAGTGGCCAAGGTCGTTCCCGACTCCGCGGATGAGAAGAAGAGATGCGGGAGCAAAAAAAGCCGAGACCGCTTTCTCGCTTCCCGAAGTGATTTAATTAAAGACGCTGTTAGGACCGCGAGGCAAACGGATCCGGGGGGGAGGTGAGGAGGGGTCGATGAAGGGAGAGACGACGAGGGGGGTTCCGGAAGGAAGGAACCGGCCCCTTCACTCTCGCGACGCGCAGAGTCGCCCGACGATATGCGGTTTCCATGTTTTTTCCACCCTCCTCCGGTCCCCTCGGCTCCGCTATGTAACGGGTGGCCTCGTGCCGCTTTGATGGCCCGAACGTCATTCGCGTCCCCCACGGTCGAATATCATTGTCATATATCGCGCTCTTTCACGAATCCCGCATAATAAAGGCCGACTGGATTATTTACTGCCGCGACTAAAGTTACCGCTTCCTCTTCCTTTCTTCCCGGCTCGGGCCCTTTTCCCGAGCGAGGATTGTGTTCGAAGAAACGAGACTTTGTCATTAACAAAAATGCGAGCGATCCGTCAATCGGATTTCACTCTTGCACGCGTCAAAATATTGGAGAGGGATTGAATTTTCGGATCGATTTTCTAAACTTTGCGGATCTCGACACCGGAAGGATTGCATCATAAGAGTCTATTCGACGCAGGCGTTTTCGGGTCTCGCTTTTACGCGGTTGCTAAATTTAAACGGAGACTTGCTCGAGGACTTGGCTCTCGTTCCAGCTAAATGCACGGTATTCTTCCGCGTGCGGATGTGTAACTTTATGGCCCGAAGATACGGCGAAAACGGCCTTTTAAGGGCCTGTCGACGACGCGACAAACGTTAACGGCGACTGTGCGGCTTTACGCGGTCACGCGTCGCTGATACGACGAGAACGCTGTTCGCCGAATCTAGAACGAAACCGGATACCGGGATTCTCTTTCGACTCTAGGTGAGGGTTCGTAAAATTCGCTGACGGGGACGGCGTTGAAAGGCACCCGACATCGGCGGCGACCTCACAAAATCGAGTCGTCATCCCTTTCCTGGCTCTGTCGCGAGAAACACAAAGTGCTCCTCTTCTTTAGGGTCGCGCTCGTCTCGTCGGTCTTTGTGACCACGCCTCTGCGTATCCGCTTCTGTATTCTAGACACGCCGCGGTTTCTGAAGACTATGTAAAGCTAGTTATGACTCGGATCCTGGCCTTCATCGACGCGCAAACGAGGCGACATGTCGTTTTCTTCACGTCGTGGAGTTGCAAGCGTTCGATTGATTAGCGATTGAATAATTTGACATTTAAAAATCTGTTGTACATAACATTTAAAGTAGTTTAGCGATCACATTTTGACATGTGAGAGGTATCGACATTTTTACGACTTAGCGATATTGAAAGATGACGTTTCAAATGCTAACAGTTGTGGCACATTTTTATTTATTATTCTTTTGTATACATATTTTGTAAAAAATAAAGATTAAAATATCAATTTTTCAGATTGCGAAATGCTGGAATATTGATATTATAATTTCAAATTTATTATTTTTATAACAGCAAATTGAGTGTCTTTTAAATGACCTTATTCTGATTAGAATTGCCGATTGATTAACGCAGGAACTTTTTACCATATCGTTAATGTGGAAAATCCGTACGAAGCATTGCGGCAGTCACATAACGGGCGTAAATAATGTCATTCTTCCACGGAGATGGCGTTTTCGATTTCGCGCAAGACTGTTTCGAATCCATTTAAATCGGAATTAATATAGCAAGGGTGAGTAACACGCCGGGCGGTGGTAAAGGTCGATTTGAAAAATCGCGCGATCTAATGGCCATTTCACGGTGGAGGCGGAACAAAGGGGAACGGGTGATCATTGCCATGTGGCCTCGAATGGGGCTTTACACACCAGATATGATCGCAATAATTTCGCGGGGGCGGCACGGGACCCAAGTCTATTTGAGTTCGTTTATGGCTCGCATATAATGCTTTTAGCCACCGACCAATCATTCCATTTCGACAATCGAGCACTCGCACTTGCAACAGAATCTGATAATCATGTAACGATGAAATAATCGAAGATAAAAGTCGAAAGTAAATTCTTTTTAGCACAAAATAACAGAACTTTATTCGGTGATATATAATAAGAAACATGTTGCATGTTTAGTTAAAATACACATACACACATACACACACACACACACACATTCATTCCTTTTTACACAATCAAAACGCGTACAAAGGATGCGGTGTCACGGGAGGAGGACTATAATTCGACTCAACAATCCGAGCCCCATTTTTTCCCGTGACATGCAAGGCAAAAAATCTGTTTCTCGGCGCTTTTATTCGCGCAAATATTTTTCACCGAAATATTTCCACCGAAAAAAAGACGAAGGTTTGGTACCGCGCGCGCGTAGAAATACGTACGCAAAATTGGCCAGATATCCAACGTGCGTATGAGTCGACGCCGACGCCGGCGGCGGACCCACATCCATCAAGGCGGCCCACAAGCGGACCATTATTGCGGACTATCCGGCGTAATTGAATTTAAGCACGAGCGAAGATATTATTTAACTAATTAGGCACAAAGGGCGCGTTCACGGCGGGCCAATCGCGATCGCCCATCTCGCGTATATACCCGGTCGGTGGGAGAGAAGCGACGAGAGATCCAAAGGGTAGAGAAAGAGGGAGAGAGAGGAGGGAAAGAGAAAGGGCAACAGCGGGAGGCCAGAAGCCGTTTGTTTTAAAACAGCCGGTCGTTGACGCGCCGCTGGACGGCGATTCGTTATTCCGACGTTGGCCGCCCACCGCGGGAAAAACGTTCGTTGTCCTCTGTTTTTCCCCCGCTCTTGGCGATCCCGTGTTCCACGACAGAGAGAAAGAACGAGAAAGAGAGAGCAAACAAACTGGCGAACTTTGGCGCGACCGATCTCTCGTCGGCATCGTGCTTTCGAACGCAGTCGAATTGCCTTTAAAGCCGATCGATGAGAGTTCCCTCTCTACTTTGCGCGATTCTCTCGCGAGATGTAAGACTGATTGTAATGTTATATTGTAATCTTACATTGTAGGTATTACGAGACCGGTAGTTTCAAAGCCGGTGTCATAGGAGGCTCCAAGCCGAAAGTAGCGACGCCGCCGGTGGTCGACGCGATCGCTAATTACAAGAGGGACAATCCGACCATGTTTGCGTGGGAGATTAGGGACAGATTGCTGGCCGAAGGCATTTGCTCGCAGGACAACGTGCCATCCGTCTCTTCCATTAATCGGTGAGTTAATGTTGTTGTTATTATCGGCGTTATTTATTCAGTGGATTATTTATTCCGGAATTGCATCCCTTCAAGCGCGTGCGCTTGGTCATTTGACAATCACATCGATGACAAAATACATAATAAAAATAAATAAGCGTGTACATATAGATTTTTATAATCAATTTATTACTAAAATGATACTAGAATACACGAATAAATTCGTAACATAATGCAAACAAGCACATCAAAGCATTTCCAAAATTTGAAAAAAAAAACCGATTAAGAATTTTTAAATCTAATTAACGTCATTGATTGTGTAAGTCATGAAAAGTGATGAAAAATCATACAAATTTGTCTCGTATTTTTCAATCGTATTCACGTTACATATTTTGAATATAGAATTAGTATTGTTCTATAAATTTTAGACACATATTGCATTTAAATTATTTTTTGTAAAATTCAGTGTGACTCTGATAATGATATATATGTATATATATATATATATATATATATATATATATATATATATAACTAATTCTCATATATGTATATATGAAGTATATCAGAAGAGATGAACGAGATTTCATGATATTTATAATTTAAAATAATTAGAGACAAATATTACATATTATATGTTATATATTTCTCATAATTTAATGACAATCCAGTCTTCAAAAATGTCATTGATTTCACTAATCATCGACTGTGCGCGCGAAGACAGCAGATTACATCAAACTCGATCGAGAAGTCGCGACATATGCTTGGACCGATGGGGCGCGATCGGGGTTATCGCGCTCGGCGAACTCCGCGTTTGCACCCTCGTCGCATGTGCATCGAGATAAGTGCGCATCCAGCCCACCGACCCGATCCTATTGACCTTTCGCAGGTTCCTTCGGGACCTGGGGCCGATTAATTCAAGTGTTTTTGCATCGCCCAGTCGGGCCGACGGAACACGAGTACCCCGCGTTGTAGCCCTTACGAGATGACAAGAGGGAGTGGGCTCCCGCGGGACGGCATTACAGCGTATCAGCACCGCACAAACTGAACGATTCGGCCTTTCTCTCCTCCCTTCCTCCCCTTTCAACTGAGATGCTACAAGGGTACGTAGCGGGAAAAGGAATGCGAAAAGGGCGAAAAGAGACGGCGAGAGGCGAGAGAAAGAGAGGAGGCGACCAAGGGGATGTACCCATTGATCAGCTCGCATATGTCCCGAGATTTAATCAGTCGCTACTTAAGACCTTATCTTTCGCTCGGGGAGGGACCGAGATATCTCTTTTTCTCTCTCTTGTCACGTCTCTTTCTCCGTCTCTTTTTCATCCCCCGCGCACGCGGGGTCGCCGATAATGAAATGGAGCGTAATGCGAATCGAATTGCGTCGGCAAGTGAAATTCACTAACGCGATTTCCGTGGGCCGCAGCCGCTAATGGAAACGCACGCAAATGAGTTAGCGCCCACGTAACGATGTAAGTGCTACGCGCGGCCGCTTATTTAAATTCCGCATCGCGGTCGCGCGACGAGAGATCTCGTGTCGGTCGCGACGTTCAACTTATAACCTACGCTCTTCTCCGAGAATTTTCGTCGTCGCGAACATTTGTTCTATTGATACAATCATGAAAATAAGGATCTTCAAAATTTGACTAATTCTCTTCTTCCTTTTTCACGATGCTTGCTATATTAAAATTTAACCTATATAAGGAATTGTGTCACGAGACAGAAAGAGAGCGAGAAAAAAAAGTTTGAAGTTCGTAACCGAAATAGAAGGCCATCAGCGTTTTCCTGTCATATTTCTCAATCGATGTTTCGCCAAGTTGTCTATATTTTTTTGTGCGATCGTAAGAAGAGGTGGGCGCGCATATATTTTCATTCTTTCACGATGCGCGTCGCGCGGTTACGGTAGCGTGAAAAACGCGAGCGTGTGTGTAAGTACAGGAATTACTTTCTGGCCGAGGTTTTCGATGTGTCTAGGATTGCGTCGAGGGTGCGGCGGTGGCTTGTTGCTCGAGTGACTCCTCCATCTCCTCCGGCTCCACCTCCATACGATCTCCTCTGCTTCTCCTGACTCGTCGTTTCGTCTCACTCTCACCTTTCTATCTCTATCTATTTCTCTCCCTCTCTCTCTCTCTTTCTCCCTCTTTGATCGCGGTCTCCTTCTCGCTAACGCGACTCCTTTTCCTCCTTGTCCCTATCCCCCCGACTCGAGGCCCAGATGGCGGGTATTGATCTGAATCCGGAGAGCAGATCGCCTGGAAAAACTTACCCCGCGGATACTTACCTACCTACCTATCTACCTCGCTCGCTATCTACATGCATCTATATCCAACGTACCATCACCCACTCACGTACACCAAACCCGCAACCCTCTGCCCGATCCATTCCGCGCAGGTAAATGCATTTCCGCTCAACGAACAGCGGATAGAAATGCACGAGCATTTGGTCCCTTTGGAAAATGGCCACGCGTCCAGCGTACTAATTATATAACGATTGATAACGAGAAGGATTTTAAAGACTGAATATTTCGCGAAGCGGATATGGTCTCTGCCCGATACGGATGGATATGTAATTCATCGGAGTGACGGTGCATTTTCAAGAGGAGAAAGTAAGTCGTCAAACGGTGCGGTGATTTATCTCGTACAACGATTGCTGCGACTCTTAAAAAATTATAGACAATTGAATCTTAAAAGAAGAGATGGAGAAATACGACATAAAAAAGGGGAAACTTTGAATCGATCACGCTTTCATCGATGAACCTTTGGCATAACTGGAACTTAGTTTGGAGAAAAGAGTACAGAGAAAGAAAGAGAGAAGAAAAGATCTCGATATCAAACGCGATTTTACCGCGAAGAAACTGAGATGCATCAGCGACCGTAGTGCGCCGGGATTTCTTCCATTATGAGCGTGTCCAGGTTTTTCTAGCCGCGAGGTAGCTTTCGGGGTGGAGAAATAATGATACAGCTAATATAATGTATTGTCCTGCTTTGCCGGAGCACTTCGAAATGAGAACGTCCGCGGGGCGGAAGGGGAAAAGAGCGTGGGATGGCATGGGAGTCGCGCGAGGTAAAAAAGACGGACGAGGAGAGAGAGCGAGATAATGGAGTGGCTTTCGCGAAAAATAACAGTTATATATCCCGTGTATATGAGACAGGATTGAGGAGAGCGGAAAAATAGGCGAAAAACGGAGGGAAGATTGGACGTTAACAGTTCCGTGCCTTCTTCTTTATTCGCTCAAAGACGCCAACGCAGCGACTTCGCGTCCTATTGTTCTCTTTTCGCGCTCTTTACGAATCGCGAGATGCACGTCGTGATTAAAAAAGGACATTTCCTTCGCGACGGTTCTTACATCTCTTTGTTTTTTATTAAAAGGAATTTCGTGTCGTCGATTCGTCTGATACATTTGCCGGAAAAGTATTAATCGGAAATTGTCCGATGTACATAAAAAGATATACGATAATTAAAGAGAGAGAGAGACGATGAAATGTATAGATTTTTCCCGCGATCGAATTCATCTATCGCAAAAGTGCGACATCGAGGAGGATAAAGACGAAGTCGGTAGAGCCTGGCAGAAGAGTACAAAGAAAGAAGGATCGCCGAAAGAGGAGTCGCGGTGAATTTCGGGAGGAAATATTGATAGGCTCGGCTTCGACTGCGGAGTCACGGTCGAGTAGGCGGCTCTCTACCGAAGTCTATCTTACACGTATACAAACCCGCAAAGGCCCACCGCCCTTCTCTCTCTTTCTCTTCTCTCTCGTTCTCTCGGTGTCGATCCCTTTCTATCTCCCTCCTTCTTACAAGTCGGAGGAGTCTCAGGAGCAGATCGATAAGGAGCGAGGTTTCGCCCGAGAGCTTTACGCCGGGTTCACAGCCGCCTTCTTCTCGTTTCCTCCTCGACGCAACCCCCGACATCACGCTCTCGCGTGCCTCTCGCGTTTGCCCCCGAAGCCGCAAGCTGCGACAGAGTCGATATCAGGGCCAAGGGAAAAAGCGGCCGCTCCCTTGACTTCCTGTTGTTCCGGTCGCGGGATCCTTCGTCCGTTAGATGCCAAAGGACTACTACCCCAACTAGAAATCAAGCTTGAAGATTCTTTACGCGATCTGTCTAGAGATTTATCTTCCAAATACCAATCTCGCGACTTGCATTATTATCCTTTGTAATTTTTTAATACTTTTAACGTTCAATGATTTGTAGTGGGATTCAAGTTTTGTCGCTAAATAAGGCACTTATTGAGAAGAAGAAGATGGGAGATTCGAGCAATCTGCGCACGATCGATCACATTCTCGGCCGCGGCTTTAATTCGACGTAATGACCGGCGCGGCGACAACAGTTGGCAGGAAATCTGTCGCGTCGAATCTCGCCGGAATTGTATCAATCTGTCATCGCTCTCTCGTGCGATGGCGTCGTCGCTCTATCGCGCGACTCAATCTCCCGTCGAGGACGCAACCGGGCTCCGCTTTGCTCTCCATTACTTCCATATCATTTCGCACTCCCCTCCCCCCTTCCCCGGAATCTGCCGAGGTGGCGGCTCGAGCCATATGGCTTGGCAGCACTCCTGGAGGATGCGGAAAGACGGCCAATGGGATGGCTGCTACTTTCATGCCACTTTCGGCTTTCCGGCCGACGTCACCGGTATATCTCCCTGTGTTCATCTCTCTTTCGGTTATTAAATTACATCCCCATAAATAATGCCGTGCCTGCCTACCTACCCCTATTCCCGCCGAGTTTATTTACCATTCCATCGACGGCACCGCGGGAGGATTCTCCTTCTCCGGGAACCCGTCAAATCGTCGCATTTGTCATCTCGGCTCGATCCGAGATCCCAGCGAAGGGATCGCTTCGCCATTTTGCATTTTCGACGAAGGAATAATATTCCCGTGACGGATGCTGCATCTTTTGGCATCGATATTGCGATCGAGAAAAGAACGCCCACTGAAATTGCAATTCAATATTATTGAATTGTCATGAGACAAATTTCGCGCATAACGTGAAATAAATCTAAGGTAATAAGATTATAAAAGAGCATCGA